TAAAACCTCATATTCATGTACAAAATATTCAAAATTTAGAATAGTTACAACAAAAAATGAAAATTTGACACTCACCCAAAAATGAGAAAAATTTCTTACCGAAAAAAAGTGAATATTTCAGTGATTGGTAAGGTAACCGTTGTAATTTTACATTCAAAACAGGTATGGGCAGATGATTTAAAATTGTTATAATGAATTACAGACTTCAATAAATATTTATTTAAAAAAAATGTATGATATCCCATTTACACCACAACTTCACAGCATATTGCAGATATGAGATAACCCTTTTCAAGGAAATATTTCCCCAGCAGAGTGAACAAAAATTGGAACCTGTAAGTCGTTTATCCAAGCATGTGATGGAACAGTTTCTCTTCCTCTCATTTTAATTTATATATATTCATTTCCCAAATCTCACAATGAGATATGCTAACTCCCTCTTCAATACCCACCCTCCAATGTGTGTCATTGTTAAAAAGACACAATGACACCATGAACGATGATGAACAGTGGTGACAGCTTGACGAAAGCTACTGTTACATTCAATCCGCCACTAATTTAAAATGTACATAGATTACACGAACTGCTAATCCACATTTACCCGGATATAAAAGGTAAAAAAAAAAACATTTTTCCAGGGTTTTAATATCACCATTAATATTATTTTAATTTTAGATTATCGAATTCCAATAGTTTGTGAAAATAAAACTAAGCTAGGAAAAAATTGCATTTAAAGTTATTGATGAAAATTTACGTGATACACAATTTAAATTCTCGGGTAACGACATGCTGCTTTTATCAATGTAGTCTGAGATGAAATATATTTGACGCGCAACAAGCTGTCTGGCAAACAGCCGACGAACTGAGTCAGAATTATCCTGGGAACTGTGACATACAGCGTTAGGAAAATATACAACCACGTCAGATAGCGTGACACATGAGAGTTGGCGTTCTAACAGGTGGTCTTTGACAACAAGATTCACTGATGTAAAACTCGTCCTTAGGCGTGTAAAAATAAAGTCACTAGCAACAGGGACCCGGCCACGTAAATTCATCCTATATTCACCAA